GAGCCCCATTCAGCACTGGTTCAAAGAGGTGAAGCATTGTGGCTGGGGGTGGGTTTGATATGTGAAGGGCATGTTGATGTGTTGGTGACTTCAGGATGTACGCTGCCCACATGCGCCAATTCGATTCGAATGATGAGTACGTCGTTGACCACTGACCCTTCAGCTCCCGAACCATTTGGCTGTGGGCACTTTCGGCGGCAGCTCCAGATCGATCTTGAACTTGGGGACGAATACATTGCTCTTGGAGGCCTTGCAAGTCGGTGGATGTGGACACCAAACTGCCCCACTTGAGAACGACAACAGAGAACGTGTGATCCTGGTGCTCTACCAGGTAACGATGCGCCTGATTGCTGTTGCCCGGCTTGAAAAAGTATCGTCCCATCTTGAGCATGATGAACGTGTCAAAGTCGGCGATGGTGGGTTTTTCGCTCTCGATCGTCCAGACACGAGGCTCCCCTTCGTGTGTAGCCTTGTACTCAACGTGTGGCGGGCAGTATGCAAAGATTTGCACCTTGAGGACATCCCAACTTGAGCCTTCAAACACACACTGAGCAAGACGTTTCCCGTTGCTGTCCCGACAGCAGACAGTCTCCTTGACATTGAAGTCGGCCCGGAGGTGGAAAAGACTCTCGCTGCGCACAGGTGTTGTGGGTGCAGGTGTCACCGGAGATGAACGTGTGGGGTAGCGGTGCTGGTGTTGAGTTGGTGATGGCGCCGACATCCAAGACTTCATGTCGTTCAATGATTGGTCGATCAATCACAAAATGAAGCCCTCTGATTGGATAATTCCTTCTGCCCAAACTTCTGCCCATTCTCGTCTGTCGGTTCATTCGGCCTGCCTCTCCAGTTTCGAATAAACACAACAATACCTGATGAAACATGATCGACCATCACCACCATAATGACGGTTGCAGGATTTATCCTGGAAATATGAGAAACAATTCACAGGTTAATTCCAGTGATGAAACCAAAAACTCGCTGAATGATTTTCCTCAGTAGGTGTTTATGCGGGCCCGTAGCAACTTTTTGTTCAAAAACAAGGTTTAGTTCCACCGGTCGTAAATGTCGTGCACGAGATGCGAGAAGATATCACACAAACGTGCCCGGGAACGTCCAAACATTCGTGACATGTCGTGGTAGCACCGTGGAAATGTCAGTCGACTCAGAAGCACACACATAGCTTCGTCGCGGCATATACGTGTGTTGTTCTTTGTGATGATGCCAGCAGGCAATCCAAGTAGGTGACCAAGTCCCTTTATGCCAGCAACGTTGAAGAGGAAATCCAGAATGGCGTTTGCAAGTGCATAGCCATCGAGCGAGAAACACACGTTTGGAATGACGGATAGCTCAATGTACTGATACATTTTAGAGGTACTGTACATCAGCTTGCGACGAGTGGTATCCGTCGTCGCAAGTGGCAGCAGTCTGATGATGTCGCTCACTGAGAGAACCATGAGCAAACCTCGCAGTTGATTTGTGTCTGTAGTCGTTTCAATGATTTACATCTACTTCAGGAGAGGAGTAAGTTCGTGAAACTTTTGAAATCTGCTCGTTTCCCATTCAGCTCCCCGGAATCGAAACAGGAAACGAAGGGACTGTGATGAAACTTTTCTAATGGGAGCTCGTCGACAGCAGTCGCGAGCGCGGGGATCGTTGCAAATCCATTGGGCGAGTCTACTTGAGAGCGGAATAACTACGTCGTGGAGATTATCAAGGCAGAGAACCTCAAGGACCTGCCACGGTTTGACGTGATGGTGCATACTCGAACATAAGCATGTTGACGACGGCGACATTGTCGACTTGGTATCGTACAGAATTCCCAAGAACCTCTCGCAGTTTATGATATAGCATCGATTGGTGGCGTGCTTGACTATGGCAGCTACGATTCCCGCAGCGACCACGCCCGACCGCCTACAGGCACACGGGATTTGCCGCTCCGGATGGCCCGAATCGTGAAGCCCTGCTCGACCTTGTTGCGCATTCAGTCCGCTCATTTTTCTTTAAACTCCACGAAAAGCTCGACTATTTGCACCGACTAACAGAGGACGACGTCGCGATATCCCTCGTGTTCGCGGAAACCCCAACGACGACGACGCCAAGGAATGCGTTGCCATCACGAACATGCGTAGCAGCCATCACGCTGCCCGAGCTTAACCGTGCTTCGGAATGAGCACGCCTTCTTCAAAGCTATCAGTAGGTTGGGGCAATCATCTTGTTTGGAATATCCATAAATGCCGTCGCGATGGCCAAGCTGGGCGATATGACGTTTATGATGCGAACGGATTGAAATGCACCAGTCCGATCGAAGCGGCACTTGAAGCAATGAGGATGGCAGCGTGTGATTATTGCCGCGCTGCATGGGCACTTGCGCAGGGTCAAGGGGCGTCCATTTCCGCATGGCCATGTGGAAATGGCCTTACCCGACGCCAACACGAATGACCAAGTTTGGTCGAGCTCTCTCCATGCTCGATACATGCCGATCGATCGAAGGTGTGTGTTGGGCCAACCTCACGTTGTTTTATCTGTGCCCATCACGTCTGTGTTCGACATCGACGTGCGTGTTGGAG